GAACCTTATTAACACAGCATATATTGTAGACCTACCTTATTGACATTTAAACAGTGTAAAGTCGATAAGATAAAGCACTTATTTTAAGCTCACTGTCGCCAGAATACCCACGTCAACTACCGTATTGTTGAAGTGTTAGTTTAAAGATAATTTTGATCATCAATATTACCACAATATGGAAAATTGTTGTGAAATAAAAAACTCTTTATTCTATTGGAGAGGTGAGAACTAGAATATTGACATCATCTTTGTAAATCAGTTATGTTCTTAAACATGCAAGGCATTTTAATGGCACCAGAAATTCTTATTTCTACATGTTTAAAGTATTCAAACAAATATGTGTGACGATAAATTAAAATTTTTTTCACGGAAAACATTAATAATCATGCAAAATACGAAACGAACACACCCCCTACACATCTGTTTGTATGGTCTGTAAAAAAAATAAAAAAAAAATAGTAAAATGATCACACATATGTAACTTTGTACTGACAACAAATACATAACTGAAATTAAAATTACCACAATGTATATTATTGCAGGAAAGAACAATTACAATTAAGAAGAAGAAATTCCTTGTAAGAAGGCCTAGTAACATTTAAATTTGTTTTGCGTACTAGAGTGGAAATTCCATCAATAGAGACAAGCTGAAGCAAGTTTTCCTCTTCAAAATGTTACATATAGTTAAAGAGCCGTTCGTTCACTTCTATAGAAATTATGGGTTCGCTTTGATTTGATGACTAGTTCTATTACCATAAAAGATCCTATAGTTCATCCTTTAAAAATTAATTTTGGCGTGGTTAAACCGTTGGGTTATACAACAGAAATTAGTAATCGAGTCAGTACACTCTTTTGGAGGCTCAGTAATTCAACAACGTTAATTTTAATTCTAAAATTAACTACAGCTTTGCAAAACGGAGAGTCTAGCTATTTAAACAGTTAAAGGCATAACTTAATATTGTTGCTGTTACACGTGAAAAAATAAACAAAATAAATAAATAAGCTTTGCAGTAATACAATGTTCAAAAACATTTTTAAAGGCCGAACAATTTCTCATATCAAAATATCAACCCTACCAAGACACCCACGCTAAAACACCCACTTTGGGTTAGGTGACGATTTATTGGCAGCTATTTTCACTATTGTTTGAATGTAGTTGGTATACGATATGCATAACCAACGGTTTGATTTTTAACTACTTAAAAACCCTAAATCTATTAGATTTTTTATGCAATTATTAATTTATTTTAATCTGTAGGTAGGCATAAAACCATAAACTGAAAAATGTTTACGAAAAGTTTGTATTCAGCATGAACTAGTTTTTACATAAAGAGTTTATACTTAAATAAAAATATATATTATTTTGTGTAATTAATTATACTGGATGTCATCAAATTCTGTGCGAAGAATAATTTAAAGTTATGTATTTTTATTAGTTAGTCTATACCTTAGACTAGGATCACGTCTCATATATAATTATTGATATTCATTTAAGACAAATAAGTAAACTATGAAATATATATTCTGGTACTGTACTTGCATTCTGGTATTAAACTGTTTGTACTGTATTTTGAAAATTCTTTTATAGCATCTAACCTCAAAAGAATTTCATTTGCTTTGACCCAATAATTTTCAACTAATTAGTTAAAAATATCGAAGTTCAAAGCAAGAAAGGTAGCATATCTAAGGAATTCTTCACACAATTGCTCTTCCGTTAGTAACAAGTCGCCGGAAATGTAAACGGAACGGAGGAAATGCGGGAGTTCACATCTCGACAGCTGATCTTGAACATGCACTGCCAACCTATGTTTCGTCTTCGTAAGTGCATTACTGTACTATATTTGATAACTAATTGGATTTGATACTGATACTTTCTATTTTATTTTACTTCTGGGACGGCTTAAGATTTAATTCTGAAGCTTCGTTAGTTGTTACCATCGTTGTTACTGTAATATTTTATAAACACATTTAAAATTCGCCGTAAATATAAAAAAATGGGTACAATCAAGGCCGCACTAGATATACAATTCTTTTCATATACTTATGATTTAGGTTACTACATTTTTCGCAAGAGTAACTTTAAGTTGTTTTTACCCACCCAATTGTTAAATTGATGCTTAAATAAAAGTCTATTCTCCCACTGATTTGGTCGAAATGACGTTTTTTCAGAACTATGAGAATCCGTTAGCGGTTCTCAAACCCTTCAATCAAATCAAATAAAACATAACTTTATTCCTCGAAGAAAATGTACAGGGGCAAAGGAGTAAAACATTATAGGTACTCACACTCCAAAAGCATAGAATTATTCTCATAACAAGTTGATATATCGATATATCTGTGCACAAAAGAATAGTTGAAAGTACAAAAATTATGTCTAATAACACTTGTAATAATATATTTACACATATACTTACAAGTCGGTGAATACATGGATTGTAAGTGATGATAATTTTTGATTGGAACAATTATCATCAGACCCAACAGGTGAATGACTATTAAACTATCAAAAGAATAGTTAATTCGGCACACAACTCCATTAAATAAATAAAAAACTAGACAATTGGTAATCAACATTTTTTATTTATTTATTTATTTACATTCCAACGGGCAAAGATCATTACGAAAATGATTAGTACGATAGTTATAATCTTGAATAAATAAATAAATATGCAGTTATACAATTCAATAAATAAATAATACATAAATAAATAAATAAAAAGGTCTTTATTAGCAAGCGTTTTTCAGAAGAATACATTCTGTTTTTCAAAACAACTCTTTACCTTAATCCTAATAAACTATACATATAAAACAATCTATATAATATCTATATAATAAGATAATTAACAGGAAAAATGTATGATGAATAACAGATAAATATATAAATAAACATTTTAAGAGTTCAACAAGACAAGAGAACAAGAAACACAACTCAGTTTACATGCACATTGATTAATAAATATTCTAATAAATTAATTATTAATAATTAAAATTAAAGTTGAGCTAGTGCTACTACACAATGCTAATTAAGTTGCGATCGTAATTTAGATTTTTTAGCGAATTTCCCTATAGGGAAGTAGCTATTACCGTAGGTCTCATGGTAAGACTTAGGCCCGGGACCGATTTACTTTTTCATTTTAATGTCCCCAGAGGCGAAAAACACCATTCGTTCAAATTTTTATATATGTATATATATATATATATATAGATTTATATATATATATATATGTGTCCGTGAACACGATAACTTGAGTAATTTGTATCCGATTTTGATGAAATTTGGTTTGAAGGTGTAAGGCGGGATAAACTTGAATGAGTTCGCGATCCAGCATGATCGGACCATGGGAACAGGGTTTTATGGGGGGTTTTATGGGGTAAAAATTGGTTTTTCTCACTTCTTACCCTCAAAACACAAAATTTCCCAATTTTTCTCTAAACCTTCTTAAAGAGCTTAAAAAACAAACAATTCAGTATATAAAAGTGTTTTTGTACGGTTATTGGTTACGGAGAAAACTAAAAAAATGGTAAATTTAAAATTCCCATGTTATTCTTATGGAGAATATTGTAAAATGTTGTAGTTTGCTTGTTTATGGATAAATTTTGATCAAACTTGGCAAATTTATTTATTTTATAGTAAGCTATCAATATTTTACTAAACACACACTACTTTATTAGTTTCCTTGTAGCAGCAAACCTAGGTACTCGTTAAACCTAATAATGTTATTTAAATAGATCAATTGAAAATCAATTCGGCCCAATGGAAATTCGCTTAGACGGCAGGTTTGCTGCGGCGGGGGTATTTACATAATCAATTGCTATTCTGCGGCATAAAAGGAAGCACTATTTCAACCAGACAAAACATATCACCTTATTTAAAGAAATTGGGGGCAGACAACGGATTTCATGTATTCGGAATTTTGCATTTAGCCTTGATCTATTTATTCTGGACCATAGTATGCCGCTCTTGCGGTCGGGTTTTACCGTAGCTCTCGAAGCTGCAAGACGTCCAAATTTAATGACATAACTTCCTTCCTTGCCGGAATAGTCCATTGTACAGGTCCAGTGGACACACTAACATCTTTGTGTTTCCTTCCTGATGAAATTCGTCGCAAACTGGTATAAAATCATCTGCGATACCGTAACCTACCTATCGGAATTAAAAAACCATGTAATTGATTTTCTTATAGATTTGCAGACAAAACTCATTAAGCTGCAAACCTGCAGACTAAGCGAATTTAAATTGACCTTAATCGGATTTCCACTCAAATATTTCCTCAGTTGTCAGATTTGTTCCCTATATAAATAACATAGTGTTTTTTAAAGCTCATATAAAACAATTACCGGGGTAGGTTTAACAAATGAGTACTTTGGTTTGTTGCGACAGAAAGGGTAAAAATGTTTTTTTTTATAAAATATTAATATCTTAGTATACAATTTATAAATTTTGCGAGTTTAGTCAAAATGTATCCATGACAATCAAACTACAATTCAGTGTTTTAATATTTTTCATAAGAATAGCATGAGAATTTTTAATTTACAATTTATTGCATTTTCTCCATAGCCAATAACCGAAGAAACACATTTTTTTTCAAGATAGCCCTGCTAAGATATCAGATGATGTTTGCTCGAATTATCGTGCTAACGAACATATTTTTAACTGTATATACAATTTTTAGTGTGTGGCACCATGTTGGCACTTATTAAACGTAACATTTTATTCAGAATTATTACATTATCAGTTACCCAACTGAATTGAAAATATGCGTTTCGTATTCTCCATACAAAACCACACAGTAGCAACCAGCAACACAATAACAGACACATTATTATACTTTATGGAAACATTTAATTACCATAATTATTTAGTTTTCATTACATTGGCTAACCTGATAGAAATGTCTGCTCCCAGAGATACCGAGCAGCAGTGTTGTTCCCCTTCCATGTCTCCTTATCCCCTCTCTTGCTGCTTCTTCATGACAGCACTCAATATGGCTTCCGTTAACTGGAAGGTTTAACTAAATAGTCTCTTTTAATATCTTTTAATGGCAAATAAGTGTATAAAAATCCTTAAAACTTGTGCGGGTTAGTATCAGTATCGTTCTTCGAGTGTTATTTAAGTGTTGGTACTGTCTTAAGTGACTATTGTGAGCAATTACAACGTTTCATGAAGTGATTTAGTTGATGTGATCAGTGAGCTGTAATGTTTTTTTGTGTCTTCTTTCAAAAGTGACAAATATGGCCTTTCCTGTGAATGGTTGTAACGTAATATGCACTTGAAATCAATTATACGGATAACTATATGGTAAATAATAGGTATAGTGAATATCAATATAACTTTATTAGTGAAATACGGAATATTGTCGTTGTTGTGAGTTTCTTGCTTATTGAAATTTGCCTTGAAATCGTTTAATCATCATTGTTTTCGAATAGGCCTATTTATCATATCGTATTATATCAAACAACTAGGACTATACATAATATCTATTAATTTTTATATCATTCAAGTGCTTTAATATGTGAACAGATCAACAAAAGGTGTTTTTATCGGTTTAGGTTAATTTGGAACACTTATAATGGTGGACTTTAAGATTTACAACAACTGGCCTAACCACTGTCGGGATAATGACCTGATGTGGTAAGTGTTTGCCAGTTTTTATATTTCGTGAAATCTGTGCGATACATTTTCGGATTACTCTCACAAGTCAAGTCCCGCACTTCAGATGTTCAGACCTCACAGATACGGGTAAGAAATATTTAGTTTATTATGGAAGAGCACATAAGTTATTTGGCATGAATGTATAGGCCTAAGCGTTAAGTTATTTAGGTAATTTTGAACGATGATTTCTCTAATCATAGGCCTACCGTAGCCTGGTTTTACGGGCTAGCCCAGATTTGCCACCCGTTTCTTTTCCGTCATGTCAATCTCGACTTAGTAACTTACCTACCTGTTTACTGCGCCCTGTGCTCATGTCTTTGGGGAGGGGGGCCTGTTCTGATTGTCTTTAAGTAACTAAAGTCGGCATCCCTGGGCTAGCCAGCAAAACTTTGATATCCGAATCAATGGGATTATCAACTACGTTACCTACAGTTCCCCACTAAACAAAAATATTGGTTCGATTGATAGCCACTCTAGGCCTAATTGTTTATTGTAACAATTGATAGGTCCTACTTACCTTATAAAGGAGACGGTTATCAAAGCTACACACTAAACTTACACCAGCCCAAGCTTCAAACTTCAAAGGCTATGAAGAAAATCAATGGACTCCGCTTAAACAAATACCTCGCTAAATGTGAAACAGTTTGAACTCTTTGCTCCGGCAAAGATTAATGGGACGTATTGGTACTCTTGAGTTCTTTTTGCCACGATTCCATCCTTCACGAAGCGGGCCACATCCTCACTATGCAGATGAAGGCCGTTGTGCATAGCCGGTCGGCAATGCCGATTGGCATAGTTTTCAAAGTTGTGCAAACGGCATCGTGCCTATGCGACTCAACAAAAATTAATGACGAGGAAACAAACTAATGAAGGCTGTGTCACTCTGTCCAGAGATGTTGTCTGATGATGAGTTGTTGTTAGCAGCTAAGTTCGCTGTTGCTGGTGTAGTAGAACGGTAAAAGTTACCCTGGAGGTTTTGTATTGGCCCCAGCTTGAAAAGTCGCAATTAGGTATAGTCCTAGTCCCCTTGGCCTACGGTACGGTACTTAATGATTTTATAATGATTCTGACATTTTTAACTTTAGAATATTTACCAAGTTGGTGCTGGTTTTAGAAATTGTTTTCGTAATGACATCGATAGATTTTGAAACTTTGCTTGGGAGGGAATTGGACCAAAAACGGCATGGGACGTGGTCGGTGTTGGTGTAGCAGGCCACTTGGCTTCTTTTGGTCCGAACCGACAACCCGTCGGTTAGAAATTGGCGTGCGGCTTTGCCAAACGGCACGCGTACACACTTGGCGTGCGGCTTTGCCAAACGGCACGCGTACACACTTGCCGCTTGGCAATGCCGATCTGTGCCATTCGGAATGTGGGGATGCAGCTTTAGTCCTATCTGCTACTTGTACAGGATCCCAATTTTCCTAAAATAGGCCAGCCTAAAAATTCTGCACTAACTTTTAATTTAGGATAAGCCTATATTTTGTAAAATAGGCCTAGCTTTGTTCAAGATTCTCTAACTCAAAATATTTTTTCAAACACCAGATTGATTTTAATAAATATCGAGTAAAGCTGTGGGATTAATAAATTCCTTAATTGTTTTTTAATTGTTTTACGAGAGGCTAAGAATTAGGCTGCAACATAAGTTGTGCATTCTCTTCACCATAGGCTTAATCAAAAGTTTACTTTGGTTAGGCTTAATGAATTGGTATGTAGGTCATGTTATTTTTGTCTATGTAGCCTGCTTTTATAATGCACGTTTGAAAAACTATAATAAGCCAAGCTGTTCTTTTGCTCATCCTGTGTTGTGACTTTAGTCTTTATGACTAGGTTTTATTGGCTAGACATTAATCCAGCTTTAATATTACCTTGGATATTTGATCAAAAATGCTTTGATTAGGCCTACTGGTATGAGGTTCTCAATTAGGCCTACTTTAACCTATAATTGAAAAGAGAAAAAAATAATTAGGTCTTAGTTATATTTATTTTTATACTAGGCTAAATGTAGACTAACCATTTATGGTAGATTCTGGTTGATATATGGTTGATTCTGCCTAATCAAAGCATTTTTGATCAAATATCCAAGGCATATTTAATTTGGAAAATATTGTTTGTTTTAGGCATCATTTAAATAGGGAAACCTGGACTGGCATGCTAGATCAACAAAGTACAGATAAAAAATTCAGTGATTTTCTTCAAACCATAAAATACTGTTTCGATATATCCTTTCCTATAACGAAAACAAAAGTCCATCGTCATAAGTCTTCAAATAAACCAGTCATCACACCAGAGATATTGAACCTTAAAAAGCAACTGCAGTTTCTTTACTCATTGTCAAAGGATCTTGATTCGTCACACCCTATCCGCTTGAAGTACAGAGATATGAAAAGAAACTTCAAAATGGCTGTATCCGTAAAGCAAAATCAGACAAAATCCTTAGTAAGATATCTGAGTCATCGAACAAATCAAAGACAATATGGGGAATCATAAATGACACCAAAGGTCCTAAATTAAAGGACAACTTCGACATTTCATTGGTTGACAAAGATGGCGGTACAGTAGGAGATCCAGGGACAGTCGCTGGAATCTTTAATAAATTCTTCTCTGATATTGGGACTGAATTTCACACTGAAAGTGACTGTATAGATAGGGTGAACTCGCTGTCAGAGTCTCTCAACTTTGTAAGCAATTCTCTATTTTTGTCCCCTGTCACCAAACCCGAGGTAGAAGAAGTCATACTTTCACTCAAACCAAAACCATCGAGTGGGTCAGATGAAATTTCTTCTCGACTTCTTAGAGAAACATATGATCTAGTTTCTGCTCCATTGGTCCATCTGATAAATTGTTCTTTTGAAGAGGGATGCTTTCCATCTTCCCTAAAACATGCCATTGTTAGGCCTATTCATAAGAATGGAAGCAAATTTGATTGTAGCAACTATCGGCCAATTTCCTTAATTTCAACTTTCTCCAAGGTTTTGTCATTTTTGGAGGAAAATAATATCTTGTCTTCCCACCAGTTTGGGTTTATAAAGGGAAAATCGACCCTCGACGCAGTCAATCATGTTGTATCATTCTTGTCAAGAGCCCTAGATTCTGGAGACGCTGCACTGGGAATAAATTTTGACCTGTCTAAAGCATTTGATATGGTTGATCACCCTACTCTTCTGGAAAAGCTTTACCGTCTTGGAGTACGGGGCTTAGCTCACGAATGGGTGTCATCCTTTCTTCAAGGAAGAACTCAATCAGTCCGGATACCCTTTGTTGACTCCCAAGGAATTCGTAATCATGCTACCTCTGCTTCGTCTGTTGTTACTCGGGGTGTTCCCCAGGGTTCTATCATCGGCCCAATCCTGTTTTTGCTCTTTATTAATGACCTGCCTTCTTTTGTATCAAATAATCCAAGTTCAAATGTAGATGTTTGTTTATATGCCGACGACACCTCACTTTGTGTCTCAGCTAAAGACGTGGCTCATCTAGAGACAACAGCATTTGAGAGTTCCAATAGAGCTTTGCAATGGTTCCAAAACAACAAACTTCTTCTAAACTGCAAGAAAACAAAAATGCTCCAATACCATATTAACAGCTCAAAAAAGCAAGTCCCACTGACTGTTTTGATAGGTGACGAAGAGATCTCTTCTTGCAGCAATGCTAAGTTTCTTGGTTTGGTTTTAGACAGACAGCTCAACTTTCATGACCATATAGAGCTCATATCCAGGAGAATTAGCACAGGAATTTTTGTGATCAGAGGTCTTTCGAGGTTTACCGATTCTCGTGTAACCTTGAGTGCCTATTATGGACTGATTTACCCATTATTGTCGTATTTGGTGGCGGTTTGGGGCTGTGAGAGCGTACAATTAAAGTTTGTCTTCCGTCTTCAGAAAAAAGCCCTAAGAGCAGCCTTCAGAATATCCCGTCGTACTTCTTGCAAGCCTCTCTTCAAGGAATACAATATCCTCACATTTCCATCCATATACATACTCAGTTGTCTATCGTTTTTAAAAATAAATTATCATCTGTATCAACCGCAGTACACTCTCAGACAAAAAAACAATATTAAGCTACCTAAGCACAGGACAAGTTTCTTTGAGAGACACCTATTTTATAATAGCATCAGGTTTTTCAATGTGTTGCCTGAACCCCTGAAAGTGGAGCAAGACAAAAACAAATTTGGGAGAGCGGTCAAACGCATACTCTTGGAACAAGCTCCCTACACTGTGAAAGATTTTTTAAGTTGCCGATCGAATTAAGATACTGTTTAGTTGCGTTTTAGTTCTAACAGCATTTATAATTTAGTTTTATTATATATTCTTGTGACGCTATTATACAGTTTTTTCTGTGCAAAAATAAAGATGATTTGATTTGATTTGATTTGATTTGGTAACTTAAGTAGGCTACCGTACCGTAAGTTAATTAAACGTGAAATCTGTAGAGGGTAATCAACTTCTGTAAAGTCCACTTACATTGACGAGAAGGTAAAAATTCTTTCCGTAACATGAAGGCTAAAACTACATATCGTACAGGTAATGCTTTTTATGTAGGCTTCATATAGCTTAATTCATACCACTTTAAAATATTTCTGTAGACTTATCTTTATTTGTGAAGGCAAGTTAGTAGGTAGGCTACTTGATCAGTATTCAATTCCCACTTTATGAAATTTTATACGACATGGGAAAAGTTTACCTTAGCCTAATCATTGTCATTAGAAAGTAGGTCTAACTTAACTTAAGGGTGCGCTCTACCTCAGCTCGAAAATCTCAGCTCGGGCTTCAGCAGCTATGTTGCGCCATTGAACAGTGCCGAGAAAAGCGCTTGCAGACATTCCTTTGCTGCCTTTATAAACTATCCATACATGCTAGTAAAAAACTACGAGTGGGTTTTCACAGAACAAAGAATAATCTATGCGACGCTAGCTTTGGATTTATAAAGTAACAATTCAATTAGGTATAAGTTAAATCAATTTAAAATTGCCGTTTTTCATCATTCAAAGAATATTTTCAGGCTTTATGGTACGGTAGTAAACATACTGCAACCACCATACGACTTAAGATAATTTAATCCTCTTTAAAATGACACCTAACTTTGATTCTAC